GGGTGAATGGATGGGTGGATGGATGGATGGATGGGTGGATGGATGGGTGGATGGATGGATGGGTGGATGGATGGGTGGATGGATGGCTCTCCAATGTTGTGTAGCTCTTTTTACAAGCAAACTGAAGCGTAACAGATTTCCTTCTGTACAGTAGGTGGTGGGGCCGGGCTCCTACAATCCAAAGCCCATTGAGAAGTCAGTGTTCTCCAGCCATCCCCCATTCTGGTCATCTGCCAAGAGATTTGACAGAAAGTCCTACCGCCTCTTTACTGGGAACGAGGTGAGTGAAAGGACATGGCAGTGAGAGAGGGACACAGGAACGGTCAGGCTCTGAGTGTCCTCCATGACCATCCCCAGTCCATTACGTGCACCCCTGGGACAGGACAAAGCTCTCTGAGCCAAAGTAAGGGCAGGCACTCCTCACCAGCTTCAGCCAGCTAAACATTAGGTGTGTCCTCTGAACAGAGCAGCACCCCAGCAGAAGTCCTGCAGCAGGTGGCTGGCTGTGATAGAAGGGTAGATTGACCTCAGGAAGAGCTTTTCTCTCCCTGTTGATTACCAAGGAAACCTGGTTGACTTGGCCAGATCCCCATCCTTTAGAGAGGAGATGAGTCCCTCTCTGGGTGCTGCTGTTGTTGCTCAGAACAGGTTGCTAAAGAATAAATGGTGAATAAAGGCCCTGGGCCCAATGTCCTGCCAGCTCAAGGGGAAGGTGGCCCCTGAGCACCCACTGCTGAGCGCGCGCTGCCCGTAGGCAGGTGAGCTTGGCCGGGGTTGAGCAGAGGGGCAGGAGCTCAGCAGTGACCCCTTTTCTCTGGCTGCATCCTCAGGCCTTTGCCCTTTTCCAGGGATGCTCAGACAACCTTTCCCGGTGGTTTTGCTCAGCATCAGCTGCAAGCAAGCAGATGCACTTCATGGATGAGGGCAGCTGGGTTTGAGTCCTTTTAGGTAGCAGGAGCAACTTGTATCATCCCAGGAAATCACAGTCTGCTGCTTGAAAGCCAGTTTTTCCTCTAGCAGTATCAGCAGCACGTTGCAGAGCCAGGGCAGGTAGGAGCCCTTCCCTGAGTAGCCGTTCCTGGAGCTGTATTCATCTTGGTTCCCCACAGAGAACAGGAACAAAGCTTAAAGGGCTCAAAGCAGCCAGGGAAAGCTTCAGTCTGAAATAGTCCACCTTGGCTAAGGATGAGGAGCAGCCTTCCACGTGGCTGTTCTCCTTTATCCAGCTGAGTGGAGGAACAGGCAACTTGAAAGAGGTCAAGGATGAAGCCATCTTCGTAATTGCTGGGGAACTCGACAGTTTATACTTCAGTGGGGAGGTTGTGACACAGCAGCCCTTCACTACAGCTAGCAGTAGGTGACTGGTGAGTGTGCTTGAGCTTGCAGAGCTAATCTACTTCTTTATGGACCACTGTGATGAGAAGAACTGCTCATGAAGGGGACTCGCCAGGCTAACACCACTTAGAGTGTCTTCTCCTCCCTCCCCTGCAGTATAGGCTGAGTTTGATTAAGACACACCACATATTGGTTTATTTTTTGCAACTGAAGGCCTGGCCACATGAAGGCACTACCTGGTTTTTGCCCCACTCGCATCCCCCAGCTGCCTCTGGATGGGGAAGCACATGAGACCTTCTCCTTCCAGAACCCTGTAGGTGTTGGTCGCTACAACATCACCGAGCATGAAAAACACCGTCAGAAGATGAGATACCAGTCCCTGTACCAGTGTGACGCACAGCGGTACCTGAGCAACTTGAAGCGGGATGCCTACTTGCTGTAAGTCTGACAGACAAGGGGGCTGTAAGTGGTTTCACACTGGCTTACAGGAAAATCATCTTGAGCAGCTCTGGGGAGACAGAGAGCACGTTACTGACGCTACAGCTGAAAGGAGGTGGGATGATCGTGTGGTTAACACACTGGGTCAGGACCGAGGAACGCTCACCAGCCCCGCTGCACGTTCCCTCTGTGGACAGGGAGGTTGGTGTTGCTGCATCTCAAAGCGAGAAGATCTTGGGGCTTCCCCACAGCGTAATGGTAGTGGGAGGGTTAAAGACCTACCCGATCTCAAGGCGCTTCACAGATGCCAAGGTGGTGGGTGTATCTTGTGAAATGCAGTTTGTCTGCAGCCAAGGTGTAGGCAAATAGTTTCCATCAAATTAGAGGAGGCAGCCTGGGAAGGAACTGGGCGATGGATGGATAATCAGGCTGTCTGGACTCATTCCCAGTGCCAGCACTGGACTGTTCAATGGCTCCAAACAACAATCACCTTCTCAGGCTGTGCCTTGGTTTGCCCATCTGAGGAAGGAAGATAAACAAGGCTCGCCTTCACCACAAAGGGCTTTGAGATCACCAGTGTGAACACCCTGTGAAGCAGTGAGGAACTATACAAATGAGACACCTCAGGACAGCCCTTTGCTCTCACCTTTGCTTGTGGCCAAGATTAGTGAAGTGCTACGGTGGCACTAGGGGCTGACAGCTCTGCAAAGGTCTCTTGATCTCCAGAGAGCAGTTAGAAATCAGTCCGGGCTGAATGTAACTCGGGAGCTTTCAGCAGGGCAGCCAGAAGTTGGCTATGCTATGATAGAGAAAGCATAATGAAAGCTAATTAAACCTTTCCATATTGCCCAGCTTTGTTAATTTTGCGCTTCCAGTAGAAATAAAAAAGATCTGGACAGTGAGCAGGACCTGGAATTCAAAGACATCTCTCCAATCAAATAGCACTAGCTCCAAAATCAGTTTTCAAGTGACAGCTGTGCTTTCTAGGGAACAGCCAGGCTTTCAGGAGCTCTGTTCACCTCCATGCCCATTAAGACTAATGAAATGAATCCAGCTGATAATTGGAGCCCACTGAATCGCATCCTCTTTCCACAGCGAGCGGCTCAAGCCTGCTGCTAAGAACAACGGGAGTGATTTGATTTATTGTCCAAGATCCCTCTGAAGAAAGTGCTGCTGTTTTCCAAACGTAAGAGGGTGCCAGGAAGTCCAAATCAGTGAGTAAATGGCAGAAGCACCAGCAGATGAGATGGGGTAGATAAAAATACAGCACGCTGGCACGCAAGTCAGGAGACAGGAAACAACTGGAGTCTTGTTCTGTGGTAATAAAATGCTCTTAGACAATCAGCAGTCTACCTTTTCTGTTGAGTAATCCATGATTTCCACCTTGGCCTTTATAAAAGAGGGAAGAGGAATTTATTGGGAAGAGGATGCCACACTTCCTTTCAAACATTGCTACTTAAAGAAGTCGCAGGTACCTGTTGTGGGCACAGCCGTGTTGTACCACAGCTTCATCACCAACACAAACGTTTGTAAGCAGCTGGGGGGAATTAGGGGGAATTTAGTGTCATCATTACCAATTTTGTAGGATATTAAAACCTCGAGGCAATGGAGAAAGTGAAGAGAGAGCTGTCAGTGGTAACAGGGATGGCCACAAAAATGAGCTGTGGGTACTCTGGTTCACTGAGAGTTAACCTTTATGAAGTCTGGTACTAGTGTTTAGACCAGACTGGAATAATTAAATCTAAGTGTAATTACATGTTAGTTATGGCTGATTAAGTATGCTAATTAACTGCAATTATCCTTTGGTGGGGGAGGTAACTGAACACAGGTAGAGCTGCAGTGATTTAAGGAAATCCTGATGATTGTTGTAGAGAGACAAGCAAAGGAGGAAGGAGGTCTCTGAAGGGCAGTGCCTGAGCAGCGATGTGGGTGAGCACAGGTGGTGAGAGGGTTGTGAAATGCAGCGTCTGTCGGGGCCAACACAGAATGTGGTGACAGGAACATGGGGCTTTGGCACCTGAGCAGGGGTGGCAGTGGGGCTGAGACATTTGGCAGCCTGGATTTCAGGGGAAAGCCCGTGAGCTTCTGTCTGGGAAGAAAACATTGGAGGGGGATGTAGCTGTGACCAAGGGAGGGGCAGGAATACCCCGGCTAAGCCTACAGAGCTGCTGTGAAAGCGTTTTTCAAGGATGTGAAACTCCTCATGCTGAAGAGGGCACTGAATCTTCATCCTCGCTTCTGTGGCAGCTCATTCAAACCAGGGATGAGATTTATTAGTGTGAAGTGAGAAGAATGAAGTAGCTGTCCATGGCAATGGCTAGAGCACCAAAATCCAAAATGGGGTCTTTGTCCTCCTGGACAAAACATCACAGGGAAAGAATGAGGCGAGGGGAGAAAAAAAATCAGGATAACTGGCATCAGGAGGCTATGTGGAGTTAGTGGGGCACAACTGAAGGGTTAAGGCTCAGCTCTAAGGTGTTTGTTTTGTACAGGTGTGTCTTGGGGCAGAGATAAGTGTGACTCACGATCTTCAAAGACATTCCTTCAAAGCTGTTTGCAGCACTAGGCTCCTCATCTCCCAACCGCATCGAAATGCTTCTGGTCTCTTACTCAGGCAGCAGCTTTTCTCAGTAATTGCTGACTGTTTGTAACAATACAGTAAGCAGGAGAAATGATAAACACAGCTGTTGAAATGTAAGTAACCACTCATTAAAAGACAAGGCTTTGAACAATATGCTGGCTAGATCTTTATTTGAAACAGCCCGTACAACCAAAAATTAAGAGCAACAGCAATTATGCATGTGCACGTGTGTGACTGATACAGTTACGGTACCCAATCACATCACACAAAGTTTGCCAATAAATTAAGGAGTGAAAAAACAAATACAATGCATACCTAGAGATCATCAGTACAGAAGTGAGGGAAACATAGTCTAAATAAAAGTATTTGCATATCCTCTAGCTGTTTTAACATCGCCCTTTCAAAGCTAACCAAACCCATTCTAGCTCTGTGCAGATTATCTTACAAGCACTGGGCTAAATCCTAGCTTTGCCTCAGGGACAAGGAAACGGCTCCTGGGCTGCTTGTCTCACAGGGCTGGGAAGGCAGGTTATACCCTGAGAACCAGCGTTTGCCTTCCCAGGTACCCCAAAGCCTGGAAGGGTGTAGCAGACACTCCTGGATCACTGACACAGCTCTGCCTGCTGCCCAGCTCCATGGCTGGGGCAGCACCGCAGGCGCTCTGCGCCGGCTGCGTCTCCCCTTGGCAGGCTGCCCTGGCTGCCAGTCCCCTACCTGGGATTTTAAGAGGTACCTTCTCTGCACATTACTTGCCCAGCACACATCACTGAGTAACAGGCCCAACTTCTTCTTCTTACTGCTTTATCATTGGTTTCATCTGGACCATAAACATCCATCTATCAATAAATAAAATCATTGGTTTAGCACTCATATAAAAAAATCACAATGCCTCCCATTGGTAACTGCTTAAAGAATTCTTCATGTTAGCCCTGACACAAGCCTCAAGAAAATGACTTTCTTTTCCCTCAAGCTCGAGTAAGGTTTCAAGTAACAATTTAAAGTACTGCTTGGACAAGACATGGGCTTGGTTTGGAACCATGTTTCTGGCTACAGGGTCAAAACACTTCCACACTTCAGCACTTGAGCGCATGAAGTGCGTGACTGTGCCGTCCTCACCAGCGAGCAGCAGGAGGGGAACCCAACAGTCCTTGCTGCTGATGTCCTCTCCAGGTGACTGAAACAGTCCTTTTACAAAGCCTATCAATCTAATCCAGCTAAAATCAAAAGCAAAAATGTCACTCGAGTCAGAACCAACGCCTGCATGTATTAAGATTCACAACAAGAGCTCCTCTTATCCACAGCCACTTGCTCTAACACACCTTGTATAAATAAAGCCTTGACTTTTGTTTTTCTACTGGCCAGGACACAATGGGCTGAAATAACCCACGTCTTCCTCCAACTGAGTATTTATAAGGCACTAAAATTAAGCAACAACCAAAAATCAACACCCCTCCTCATAAAACAAAATAAAAATACCCAAATAAACTGAGCCACAACAAGTAAAAACTGAAATGTATACTTGCCTATAGGAAATAGCAGCGTTTTTTTTCAGTAGTCTATGAAGCCAGGACATTGATATTTTGGGGAAAAACCCAATGCACTGTTAACCAACAAAAAAAAGTACCTAAAACCTACATCCACTTACACTTCATAACCAAATTCAGTACAGAGCTGATAGGCACAAGTAAAAAAGCATTTTCTTCACACCTCAATGCTCAGCTTTGAACCTGAAGCCACTGTCAGGGCGTTTAACTGCTCTGTGGAGACAACAGGACAGTGTAACCCAAGCAGTTTAGGACCACAGGACATCACGCAGCGCTGTACAGCCCCAAGGTTATGGTACCATGGCTAAGCTGTCCCAGGTCACTGACTGGAGGCAAATGTTTGTAACATCATGATTCATTTGACAATGCGTTCAGCTTTGGCACCGATTTCTGAGCCCTCCTTACCATTTTCAAAATTAATGTTAAATAGAGCTATACTATACAGCTGGTGTAACTCCAGGATCTTCATCCTTTCCAATTATTCTTCTTATGCTTGGAAATAGGTGAATTCACCTACGTCACTCCATTCGACACAAAAGCTAGCACTTCAGATTTCTTAAAAACAATCACTTTGAGTTTGGAAAATTGGTTTTAAAACACATGAAGAAAGACTAAACATAAATTTATAAAGCAGGAATTCATACCCTTAAACATCAACAAGAATGAGCTTATTTGGAGAGCAATAAAGCTTTTTTTTTTTTGTAAAGGCTATACTAACTAGCTATAGGTAAATTAATCTTTCCCTGATTGCTTGGTTAGATCATCCAGGCTCAGTGCCTCGCAGCTTTGCAGATTTTGTCATACACTTCTGGAAAGGCATCCTTGCAATTCATTTGCTCCCTCAGCTTGTGGTATAACGAACCATCAAACATATCCCAGAACTCCTCACGGGTCATATAGCAATCTGCATACAGCATCTGGAAACTGGAGAGGGAGGGGGGGGAAAAAAAAACAAGAGAGAAAAAAAAGAGACAGAGATTCAGTACTCATCGTGCCACAAGATTTCTAATAGAATATTAAAGAAAAAAAAAATCAGAGCAAGCCATGAATAGCAAATATTTAACAAAAAACCCCATCAAAGATGCTTTTTAAAAAGAAGCAAATATAACTGCTCATATGGATTACACTGGGACACTCAGCCAGTTATATTTTGTGGCTTTAACGTTACCATGATCTCTGTTCCAAGAGGAAATAACATGGAATGGTGAAAACAGCAGAATATTGCTACAGTCATTTTGGTGAAGGGGAAGATGGGACAAGAAAGCAATTAAAATAACTGTTGCTTTTAAAATACGGTCCAGAACACTTCTTTGGCCATCAGTGTATTGATACTTCCATTAGTTTCGCTACTACAAAGAGAAAAGGACTAAAAAAAAAGTGTATAAAACAGGGGTTCTAGACATCCTAAAACAGGGTTCTAGACATCCTAAAACAGGGTTCTAGACATCCTAACCACGTGCAGCCAAATCTTCTGACAACTTGTATTCTCACAACTTATGTTCACAGAAACACAAGTCTAGACAGAACTGCAAGAGTTCAAGGCAGATGTAGCAACACATTCTTTGACTTTTTACAGTTTCTTTTGACTGGACACTGAGGATATAACTAGGAGGGCAAAACTTGACTAAAACAGACCAGGCTGAGAAGACAAATTTATAGTGTAAATGAAGCACAGTGTAACAAAGGTCCATTTACAAAAATAAATGAAATCCTTATTTAGCTGTGGGCTCTTCCTTCCGTTCACACTCTGCTCTCTAAAATGCAGCTAGCATCAGAGTACAGCAGCACAACACAAACTGTTACTTAAAAGCTCTGTTGTTGTGTGTGATCATAAAACTGTAAGATTTATCCATTGTTCATTTCCCAGTGACAGGCAGAGAAGAGACAAAACTTTTTTAGTAAAGAGCTTTAAATTAAAAGCTTAATTTCAAGTTAATTAAGAAAAAAAAAAGCTTAACATTAACTTTCAGTTGCTTTGTTCTCTGGCAGATCACTCACTGCAGCTAAAAGTCATTTACACTCTCCAAATCATCTCAA